GTCTAACATGGTATCAGAGCCATGCTCAATCCAAAAAAGAAAAAAGGAGTCGAGCCTCAATGATCATGGGTTCATGGGTTTACGATTAAGGGGATTCACTTTATAAGTGAGGAATACTAACTCCATTGTGGAGAGTCGTGTTCGTCTAACACTACCTTCTTTAAAATAACATTTTTTAGGACATATGGGACGAGTGATGGGGTGTATGTTAATTGAGCCATTGGGTCCGTGTAAGCATGTTTTCATATTTGTTGTATGTCTAAGACGGTTTTAATTTATATATTTTATTAGATAATTTATAGGTAAAACTCAAAATTCGGAGAACTCAAAGCAAAGAAATGATCAGAAAGAACAAAAGAAAAAACAAAAAACCAGACATAATCCCCAAACAAAATCTAAGAAAAAAAGCAACCTTCACATTCCAAACACTATAAATTAAGCACCTAAACTTGAGAACTGAATCACCCTCTAAAGCTATCTTCCACTCACATAACCCCAAATGGAAATGGATGGAATAATTGTTGTTCTTCTATTGATTCTGGTGGCTCCGCCTTCTAACGCGGCGGTGGTTGTACCGGCGACTGTGTTTAGAGAATACATAGGAGCTGAGTTCAATGATGTCAAATTTTCCGACGTTCCGATTAACACAAATGTAGAAGAGTTTCACTTTCTCATGTCGTTTGCAATAGACTTCGACAGCTCCCGCCGTTGTTTCACTAATGGAGTATTCAACGTTTTCTGGGATTCCTATAATCTTAGCCCTTCCGCTGTTGCTGCCATTAAAAAGGTAATCAAACGTTCAACAACCCAATGTTATACATTAAAATATATATATATATATATCACATTGTCCATTTTGAACCTAAGCTCTCGTAGCGTTGTTTTTTCAAAAGGTTTCGTAGCAACATAAATAGTATTCTTTACTTATAAACTCATGATTTTCCTCTTAATTAGCCAATGTGGGACTACTCTTTTTAATAATTCTCAACAATCTCCCTCTCGAACAAATTACATCATAGAATCTCCCTTGATGCCTATGAAACTCTCGATCAGTCTCCTCTTAATCGAGACTCCACTCCTTCTCTAAAGTCCTCGAACAAAGTTCACCTTTTGTTCGACACTTAAGTCACTCTTGACTACACCTCCGTGGCTCACAATTTCTATTGGCATGGCTAAGTTAAGAGCATGACTCTGATACTATGTTAGAAATCACGACTTTCCACAATAGTATGATATTGTCCACTTTAAGCATAAGCTCTCGTGGCTTTATTTTTGTTGAGATATAATTCAAAGTATTCAAAACTGAGATATAATTTAAAACCGATATAATTCAAAGTATTGAAAGTACCAAGATTTTAGAAGATTGTCAGTAGATTTGAATTTATAGAATTTCATAATTTACTATTAGCTTATAAGCCTATAAATATTGGGATCTGTACTATTTTATCGGTTCTTATTTCTTTCAATATCCCTTTCCCCAACCGTTTTTTGTTTCTCTAAAAGGTCTCGTATGAAAAGAGATAGTATTTCTTACTTATAAATTCATAATTTTTCTCTTAACTAACCAATGCTATTTACTTGGACATTAACATAATTGTGTGCTTAGGATCATTCAAACGTGAGAGTGGGGGTAAGTCTTGGAGGAGACAGCGTGGGAGACTCAGGCTTTGTTTATTTCAAACCTTCTTCAATAGCTTCATGGGTTTCCAACGCAGAACGTTCACTCACAAAGCTCATAAAAACCTTCAATCTCGACGGCATCGACATCGATTACGAACACTTCGAGTCGGACCCGAACACGTTCGCTGAGTGCATAGGGCAGCTAATTAGACGGCTAAAGAAGAAGGGTGTCATCTCATTTGCTTCCATTGCCCCTTTTGACGACGCTGAAGTTCAGGCCCATTACTTAGCCTTGTGGAAAAGATACGGGCAGTTGATAGATTATGTTAATTTTCAATTCTATGCTTATGATAAGACCACCACAGTTCATCAGTTTATCAAACATTTCAAAGCTCAAAGCTCAAATTATGAAGGTGGTAGGATCCTGGCAAGCTTAGCCAGCGACGATAGCGGCGGATTGTTGCCAAAGAATGGGTTTTTTAAGGCATGTCGAAGGCTTAGAACGGACAAACTCCTCCATGGAATCTTTATTTGGTCTGCAGATGATTCACAAGCTCATGGTTTTAGGTATGAAAAGAAGGCACAAGCACTTCTACAAAGCCCCAACTACCACTATTGAAATCTCCTCCACCCCTTTGATGTTGTTTGATTTTATGTATGGATGAGTTGTTTTGATGCACATGACATACAAAAATGCATTAGATTTTCATAGTTTTAAACATAACATACGCTTATGATATAAAGTATCTCCTTTCTTTTTTGGCATAGCATTTCTACCAGACATATATACATATTATTTGGTGTGACATAGGCATAAATCGATCGTATTAATATAGTTTACATGGCGTGACACATGTGAGTTCATGAATCATATCATAATGGAGCAAATAACATGACATATCTTGTAACATAGCATAACATATATATCGCGGAATAAATATAACATAGTATACGTCATACAATCATGAGAGACAAAATGTGCTAGACTCATAGGGCACGCATCGCTTATGCAACAAACATGTCTATCTAACCAAGTCAACAGTAAAGCCACTCACTTAGTTAGCCTAAGTCAGAGTTACTGTACTTCCTTAATGGTAGTTTGGATTTGCTCCTTGAAATCTAATGCTACCTCATAAATTTACCATTGAAAGAAAGAAGTTGATAGCAATAGTTTGGTAATTGAACTTTCGAGGACACCGCGAGCATAGATTGTCTATATTCAATCTAGAACACAATGAGGAAGATCACGAATTACATGATGTTCTCACAAATTACATTAAATGAACATAAGTATTTATATTGATTCAAATTGTTGTGTAACTTGAGTTGTATTTTGTTATTGGATGATTTTTCATGGTTATTCTTGAACATTGAAGATTTATAACCAATACCCACATTTCTTTAGTACTTAGATCCTTTAGGAGGATATTATGGCTCTAGGCCACTGAAACCAAACATATATAGATATGGGCGAGACAAGACCTCAATAAGCCTACTCAATTTGATAAGTGGAGGATTGTGATGATGGCAATAGGCAGTGTAGGTAGAGCTGACTATAGATATTTTGTGGGCATTAGTCACAAGAAAGTCGACTCATTGAAATTTCTTGTAGAGTCATAGTCAGAGGCTATCACAATCCTATCTTTTATATATCGTATGGGATTACGCTCAATTTCCAAATAGAAAAAATGTTGGTAGATATTGTCCTTTCTAGGTTTTTTCTTTTTAAATTTTTCCTCAAAGTTTTAAAAACGCATCCGTTAGAGAGAAATTTTCACTTCCTTATAGAAAATGTTTCGTTCCCCTCTCTAATGTGAGATCTCACAAAAAGACAGTAAATATGAATTTTACAACTTCTCGAATGTGGCCTTATCATAACTATTGTATGGGTTGGTGTTGAATATAGGATTGTTTGGTGCATTGGCATGTGATGAGGAGTGGAAAGAGTAGGATAATTAGGCATAAAGGGTTTGAGAAGGGCCCTTTCTGTATTTGATTGATATGCCATTGCAGTAGGGGTTGGGTTATTAGGTAGGTAGTTCCCTTGTTAAATTAATACAATTGTTCCACTACCATGAATATACGAATATGAATATGATTATGATGATGTCAAATCTTACCAGCCTTTTGCTTCTGTAAACCAAAAACAATGACACTTGCCCCACCACCACCACCACCACCACCACTTCCCTGTGTAGTTTAATGCATCCCCATGTGACCCTCACACACTTCAATCATAAGCCTCAATTTGAATGTGACTACTTTAAAATGTGCCTATGCTTCTTTCCTAGGATATTCATCACCAGACACGCTCCTTGCCCTCCCTCACAGACGCACCTCCTCGCCCTCGTCATCACCTTCTTCGATGATCCAACCCAACCCCAAAAATTGAGGGTTGAGTTGCAACACAATGTTAGGTTATTTGGGTTATGAACCCAACCAATACGAAATAAATTAAGCATTTGACGTTCTAAACATAAACACGAATCAAAGGTTCCTTATTTAACAGTATCATATATCAAGTCAGTATGATTCTCCATTTGAAAACAAATGGCCATGAAGTGCAAAGAGGGGAGGGGACCTCCAAACACCATCTTTCCCCAACTCACAAGGTGTAGGCCCATCAAAATCACCTACATCACTTCAAAATTTGAGTCACTACCTTTATTATCGTGCCCTTTCTTCCCTCCTTCCATTTTTGTCGGTCTTGGAATTGAAAAATTTATCCTTTTTACGACTTTTATCAGTCAACTTATCGTAGTTTAATTTTATCTATGACATTCAAATATACGAGGAATTGAGCTTCAAACTCATTCATAGAGCTACAACTATCTAATAATTCTAACATCAGTCCTAATTAAAAATACTGAAGATAAGCTAAGTTAAATAGTCTTAAATTGGGCTTAAGTTAGTTCAAAACACAGAATTAGTTCGAACTAACTTCAAACACCTTGAATCTAAAGCCATAGCAAAAAGTGTGGTTTGAACTAGAACAGAAGTTGAATTGGACGATATTGACAATAACAATCTGACTATTAGTCTACGTGGCTGAACTAGTTGACCCTTTGAACAAAATAGGATGGCAAAAGAATTACCTTTTCGACTTAGATCGAAAGAGACCAAAGATATGATATCTTGGAGAGAGCTTTTTTTTTCTTCTTCTTTTTTAGTCAAAAAGTCTTTAAAGACAGAGAAACCAACTTGATTTAGGAGTTGGGGAAGAAAAAGATCGGATTTTGAAAGAAAAGAAACGAAGAAGAATTAGTCAACGAAAAAGTCAAAATGATGACATCATCATCCACGTCATCTCTCTTTTTTCCTCTCTACATAACTCCCTATTCCACATCTCTCCCTTTCATTCACAAACCCAAATTAAGAAGAAAAACAAAGGTATTCAATCGCTCTCTCCTCCACCTCATCATGCACAGTCACTCAGCCGCCACCGCAGATGCCTCCCTGAGCCACCTCCAACCGCCGCCACCTTTCCCGTCGTTCTCAAATTTGATATATTCCCACAACCCTTTCCCAATAGTAGAGGCATTGGAGGTTAGTTATAGTGGGAGTAGTAGTGGAGGTTGTAGTAGCTACGGGTCTCCAACATCGCACCCTGGGCTAAGCCATGGTCCAAGCTCTCGCCGACCACTCACAAGGGCTTACAGCTCCGGTCATAATGAGAGAAGAGGCGAAGAGAGGGCATGGTCCAGTGAAAGCAGTCTGATAATAGAAGGAATGAGAAGAGCTTCTCCATACACTCCCCAAGAGAAGAGACACAGAATTGAAAGATACAAAACCAAGAGAAACCAAAGGAATTTTAATAAGAAGATTAAGGTAATTAATTTTACTTTTTTTTTTTTTTTTTTTTTTTTTTTTTTTTTTTTTTTTTTTTTTTTTTTTTTTTTTTTTTTTTTTTTTTTTTT